GGCCCTGCAGTTCGCAGGCCGGCGCTGGGGAGGCCCTGGAGGAAGATCCGCTCGCTGCCGCCTCCCGCCGGGGCTGACTCACCGAGCCCGGCAGACAGCGGCTGGCTCCGGGAGTCCATGTCTGCGTGCGTGTGACTCCGCCGCTGTTCGACTCCCACCAAACCACGGGATCAGCCACAAACTTAACCAACATCCCCATCCCGAGTTCTCAGATGTGGAGAGCTGTTTCCCTGTATGTCATCAATGTGGATTTTTTTTTAATATCAGCTTTTCTTTGAAAAGCTGAATTTTTGGAACTGAGCATTCTGCCAGAACTTACTGAGAGACCATGACAAGTATTTGTACCCGGCCCTTCTCCAACTACCGAAGCTGATTCTCAAGGCTACTTTAAAAAAAAAATCGGCAGCGGACATTTATGGATTTCTGTTGTGTTTAAATTCTCTACAGATTGTCTTGTAAATATTTTATGAAGTAGAGCATATGTATATATATTTATATGTGTGTGTGTATATATGCACATACATTAGTAGCGCGACCTTTGGAAGTCGCAGCTCTTGCAGCGGAGGACGGAGGCCAGTTTTGCATGATAAAAGCGGCGATGTTTATGGAAGACGATCCTGTATTTTCTGTTGTGTTGGGACGTTAGACAAAACTCACCTGGGAAAACTGAGAGGTGGTTAACTACTGGAACTTCCAAACTGTGCGGTTGCCGTCCTTTTTCTCTCCGCAGACATGTTGTAGGGCGTGTGTGGGGATTTTGCCCCCTGAAACTTTTGTGACAGCCAAAGACTGAGCTGAAATTCTCAAAGCAAGACTCGGACGAAGACCGTCCAGTCCCCCTTGGCATTTGGCTTTGGATTCTGGTCGCCCACTTTGAAAGCGCTCAGCCGCGGGATGCCGGGAGCCCTGCCCGCCCGGGTCTGAGGCGCCTGGGCAAAACCAGAACTTGCCCCTCCTGGACAGTTCTTAACTTAAGTCAGCCCCCGCCCACCGCCCTTGCGGCAGTCCAGGCCCCTGAACTTGTATGTTGGTCTCCCGGGAGCTGCTGGCTGAAGATCCGCGCCCCCGCCGCCCTCTGCTAGGAGCCGTTTGCAGGGTCCTCACTCAATCGGCTTGTTGTGATGCGTATCCCCGTAGATGCCAGCACGAGCCGCCGCTTCACGCCGCCGTCCACCGCGCTGAGCCCGGGCAAGATGAGCGAGGCGCTGCCGCTGGGCGCCCCGGACGCCGGCGCCGCCCTGGCCGGCAAGCTGAGGAGCGGCGACCGCAGCATGGTGGAGGTGCTGGCCGACCACCCGGGCGAGCTGGTGCGCACCGACAGCCCCAACTTCCTCTGCTCCGTGCTGCCCACGCACTGGCGCTGCAACAAGACCCTGCCCATCGCT